AGGAAGGAAGGAAGGAAGGAAGGAAGGAAGGAAGGAAGGAAGGAAGGAAGGAAGGGCTGCTTCCATATCACAGACTATGATTCTTCTATCAAATAAAAAAATTAATCAGTTGGAATTTAAATTTATTAACTTTGAATTTCAAATCTCAAATTTCAGTAGAAACTTTCTCTTTTCAAATCATAACTTGGCTGATTTGCACATTTCTGTCACATAGTAATTTTTTCTGTGAATCCTGTAAATCCTCATCTGAGGCCACATTTATGAATTTGAAAGTTAAGCAAATCCAGGAGAAAGTGAAATTTTAAATTGAACAAATTAAGATCTGCATTATGAAATGAATTTGAATTTTTAAATATATTTACTTTTCCCTAGCAGACTATTTATAAGATGGAAATAAAATAAATTTTACAGATGACATCTGCGGTATATTTCACTCTTACTTTTATAAGGCTCTCCATTATAGTACATTGCCTGATATAAAGCAATATTTTCTCTAGATTCTAATGTATAATATGCACATCTTTTAAAATCTAGTTCTAGTTTCTAGCTCTAGAAGTAATACCATCTAGTTTTACGATGGTAAAAATCTATGTATTGGCTATACTGAATAGCAAAGGGGTGCAAAATATGCTTTTATGTGGTCCAGAACATTTCTTTGAAATCACTATTTAACCACCTACAGCCCTATCTATCATATTCCTTCCAAACAGAAAAGTTGCATAAAGTTGCAGAGTTGGGCCTCCAGACACCCATTCACAACTTTTATGTGCCTGGGAGTAATGAAAACACCCCCAAGTAATGCCAAAATAATGGGTACTGTTTTAAAATGCAGTTTTGTGACAATTTCCGACAATAGATCTTATATGCCAATATTTATGTAACTTTGGAAATCAGTGATGAAGTGGTTCTGTTAAAGACTAAAAGTATTTTTATTGTATGAGAAACAGTGGCCTGCAGAAGAATTTAAGGTATTTAGTTCTAAAACTGTTCTCGTATACAAACCTGGTGTTTTAGTTATTGTCTCATTAACTTCTCTCACTCCTTTACCTACAAGTAAAAAGACAAATTATCATTTTTATGAACATATTTTATTTATATAGAATGTTGATACATAATGCTTGATTGAGGCAATTGTGTGTTTTCCGATACACCTATTCCTTATGATAGACATAACTAAAATCTGTATTACATATTCAGCCAGATATAGTTCTGTATAACTATCAGAAAAATAAAATATTTCAGGAGTCCAAACTTTGCATCATGGCAAGCTTGCTGATTGCAGGGATAATTGCTGCTCTTGCTTCTAAAAACTAATTATTTTTATATCAACCACAGTGCTGTAACAGAGAGCCTTATACTAGTAATGAAGAAGGTGTACATATATGTCTTTATACACATTTAAAACCTACAATTAGATTCTACTAAGCTAATGACATAATTATAAGCCAGAAACAGCCAGAACTATGATCATATTTCTTAATATGCACCAGTGGTTGGAAAACCTCTTGGCAATAGTACAGTATAATGGGCAATTCAGGTCTGCTGCACTACATATGCAAATCTTGTATCTTGGAGTGCTTTTACTGCTAATCTAGTAGCAGCATAATTTGATGCATCTTAACTCACTATGTCCAATGGCTTTTGTTTCAGAATATAGCCTATGACTAGATAGGAAAGTGGACTTACTGAAGTGCAACAAAGGAAAGTAGGCAGAAATTAATCTTGCCCTATCCTGTTCCTATTTGGAAAGGGCTGGCATTCTAGGCACAATGATAAACAAAAAGGAACAGCAGCTATCCTTAAAGTGTTGAATCTAGAAAGCACAGAGCTGTAAAGAGCAATTTTCATTAAATCTCCCTTTTTGGCTTATACTGTTAATTTCTACATTTAAAAAAAATATATAGATTTATAGGAAAGTTTGTTTGTTTCTCGCACAGGTGAAAAACATGCAACCACATATTTATATTACAAGTGGGTTCTTGCAGATCTTCAGAGGATGTGTAATTACAAAATTTTATTTATATTGTATTATATGCACATCAAAGACTAAAAGACACACATGAAAAACTAAGACTGTGACATAAGCTGAGGTTAATAATGTACATATACAAATAGATCTTTCACTTGGACTAAGACTGGGCAACCTGTAACTCTGCAGATATTCCTGAACTTTAACTGTCACCGAGTTAACATGACCAATGTTACTTCAGCAACATCTAGAGAGCCATAGGTTACTCATTCCTAGCTCATACCAAATAATGCTTTAGTTTTAGATGATGGTTACTTATCTCTCATCCTTTCATAAGAGGGAGATCACATGAAGACATTCAGACTATTCATATCACCTGATAGGAAACTATAGCAAGCAGGATCAAGAGCTGTGGTGACAATATAATCTTCTGCTACCATCTTAGAGGCAGAGAGGTATGTGCTTAAAAGATAGATAAAATGGCATGTTTATTAATTAGAAATGCAAATGAATAAACCTATTCTGGAAAATAACACTACAGGGGTAGAGTTCCAAACATAAGAACATAAGCAGTGCCCTGCTAGATGGACCTCTGGCCATCGTCCAGCAGTCTGTTCTCATACCAACCAACCAGTTGCGCAAGTAACCCCACTAGTCTCCCAGCAGGTGGCCTTCAGAGGCAGTCTCACTTCCATCAAGGCCAATAGTCACTGATCCCCATGACTTTCATGAATTTGTCCAACTCTTTTTTGAGGCCAGCCAAACTGTTAGCTGGCACCACATCTTGTGTTAGCAAATTCCAAAGTTTAATTACAAGTTGTGCAATTTTTTTCTTTTTCTCTGACTTGATTGTTCCAGGATTCACTACCATTGGGTAACTACTGGTTCTAGCATTATGGGAAGGTGAAAATAGCTTCACCTTGTCCACTTTATCCACACCATGCACAATTTTGACACCTCAGTCATGTCCCCTCTTTTTCGCCTCCTTTCTAGACTAAAAAGTCCAAAATGTTGCAATCTTTCCTCATAGAGAAGCTGCTCCAGCACTTTGATCAACTTAGTTGCCCTTCTCTGAAACTTCTCCAGCTCCACTGTATTATTTTTGAGGTCCAGCAACCAGAACTGCACACAATATTTCAGATGCATTCACACTATTGATTTATACAAGGGCATTATAATGTTGGCATCTCTATTTTCAGTACCATTTCTAATTATCCCTTTTGGCCTTTTTACAGCAGATGTACACTGTGTTGAAAACTTCATTGAAATGTTTACCATTACTCCAAGAGCTCTTCCCTCATCAGTCACTGTTAGTTCTGATCTAATTAGTTTGTATGAGTAGTTAGGATTTTGGCTCCAACATGCATTACTTTATACTTGTTAATATTGAATAGCATCTGCCATTTTGATGCCCACTCCCCTAATGTGCAGAGATCCTTATTGCTTTTACCACTCTGAACAATTTGGTGTCATCAGCAAGCTTGGCTAGTCCACTGGTCACGCCTGATTCCAGACTGTATTGGTCTGGAAAAAAAAGTATTGGTCCTGAGACAGAAGGAGAAGAAAAAGAATTGATCTTTTTATTTTAAGTTTTTGGGAGGACCACTGTTTTAAGTCTGGATTTTAGGCCCTCCTCCCTGTCAAGGGCTGGAACAAGAAATCCAGCAGGTAGCCCAAGCTAGAAAAACACTCAGAAATTTCACCAAACACATGGATAAATCTCCCCCCAAATCTCACACTTAACTCCTTCTCTTCACCTCTCCTTTTTATGACCAATTTCTACCCAAGCTTCCCTGATCAGCACTTTCTGCTGCTCTGAGCAGCTCCAAGTAGTAGCAGCAGCAGCCTCTTCACCTTAACGGCCTTAATTATGCAAGATATGTGTCTCTCTATCAGTATAAATCTGAAGGAATGCCTTTTTGACCCTAAGAAGCTACCTCAGGATCTGAAGGTTGGTAATTTTGAGGAAACTGTTGAAGCAGACTGACCAAAAAATAAATAAATAGATAAAAAATAAGAAAACAAAACAAAACAGAAGACAGATTCTGAGAAGACAAGGAGAGGCTCTGAGATAAATTGTTTGAAGAAGAAGTAATAAAAACCAAACAAAATCAGGCATCTCTGTATTTGACTTGTTTCCATGCTCAAGGGTGAATCTTTCAAGTTTTTTTTCCATTGGTATCAAAATGCCACAGACATTCCTTCCTTACTATAACTGAAAAGTCTGGAAGTAGAAAACACATAGGTAGGCAATATATATTGCAAAAAGGAGCAAATCCTTTATTCCCATAAGAAATTGGGATAATTATATAGATTGGCAACTGACTATAAATCAATAACATTTGTTTGTTTATTTATTAGATTTATATTCTGCCTTTTATGCAGAAGCTCAAGGTGATATACATAGCTCTCCTTCCTATTTATTCTTACAACAATCCAGTAAGAAACACTGACTGGCCCAAAGTCACTCAGTAACCTGAGTCTCCCACTCCTAGTCTAATATCTTGACTATAACACCACATTGGATAAAGTGAACAACCCTTCCTTGTTAGTTTCATGTTAACTTTTACAGTTATAAAACCTGTACATTTGGGAGATTACTTTATACTGCTTCCTCAAAATTCCATCTAACTCATGTTTTCTTAATTGGTATGACCAGCACCTAAGACTGGAAGGAGTCTGGTTGCACCCTTTTCCAACTAACAAATTTTATTAAAAGGCAGAAGCTGCAGCTCACAAAAACATATGCCTTCTAATAAAATCTGTTAATCTGAGAGGCATGAGATACATGAGATACATCTAAATTGCTTCCTTCCACCTTTGATTTCAAAGGAAAGAGGAAAGGGACAGCCTACATTCATAGATATATTTTGCAAAACTGCTGACTGATGTGATCAAGATTTCTGCCTGCTGGCCATAGAAGGACTTAGCATCCACAAAATATCTTTCAACAGGAAATTAAATGTCTTGCTCTTAAACAATCATACTTTCTCATGATGGAGAAACTTTCAATAACTAAGGGCAAGAGAAAGGCAAAAATACTCAGGAGCTTACCTCATTTCTAAAAGTGTTTGTACACTTTGGTCACCTTTGCATCACTGTAATATTACTTCTTTTTGTAAAATATCAGCTAAGAAGGTCCTGCCTTTTTTCCCCCTTGTTCCGCCTTACTGAGCAGAAACCTCAGTAAGTCAAAGTTTCACTAGTGACGGTTGTGGAGGTAGCAACGGAAAAGAGGAGGGAGTGCTGTTCTTGGAATTGAAGCAACTCCCAGATATCTCAACAGCTCATGACACTCTTTGCCAAAGTTTCCCATGAGGTGGCCAGTCCAACAGTTGAACACCCATTATATGTCACTTTTGTGGAATATTTAAAGAAGAAACATATATTAATTTCTATTATGAATATAGAATGCATTATTTGTTTTCATTATTTTGTATCTCTCTGCTTCAGGAAGATAATATATAATATCACGATTATAATATGATAGATAGATAGATAGATAGATAGATAGATAGATAGATAGATAGATAGATACAAACATTTGAAATAAATTAGAAATAGACCTTATGAACGATTAAACTTTACCATTAATTTATCAGTGACTTACTTTTACAAACAGGTGATTTTCCTGTCCATTTCATGTCTGGTTTACATGTCCGGTGTTCTGATCCACCAGCAAGAAAAAATCCCGGCTGACACGTATACACCAAAGTGTAGCCTAGGGTAGGTAGATCTATTGCTTTTACATCTACATTCGCTGGTGTCTCTGGCTGTCTACAACCATGAGCTGAAAGAGTTTAAAGAGCTATTGAAAATATTCTAAAAAAACAGAAATTAGGCCATTTACAGAATAAGTGACAAACATTTTATTACTTTAAATTTCTGTTTGGAAAAGCTTAGCATGCTATTTGTATGTGTTTCTGTATGTTATTGATAAAGAAGCAATGTAAGAGAGAAATGTGAAAAAAGCTGAAACTGAAGATGTTGAACCACACCTCATTTTCTTGCCTATGATGCACTGGCAAGGAAAAAGAGAAGAAAAGGACAGGCTGCTTACCTGCAGTTGCAGTTCTTGGAGTGGTCATCTGTGCTTCTGCAAACATTCTAAACCAAAACTGTCTTGGGGGGCCCTGATCGCTCCATCCCACTGCACATATCTGAAGAATTTGCCTGAATTCCTTGACATCCCCCCCCCCCATCCCCAGTCAATAAGAGAGTCATGTGAATGAAAAGAAGGCTATTTAAAGAATTACAATTACAGGTAAGCAATCTGTTTTCCTTTCTTATGATCTCTTGAATCACATACATAGGTGATTAGCAAACTATGGCCATTAGTGCTGAGGCAATTAATGAAGCAAGCATCCAATCAACCAGGATACTGAGGCAGTAGGGATGAACAAAGATTGATGGCTGGGGCCAGTTATGTCATGTAAAGCTATCATCCAATCAGAAAGGGACCACATGGGATGAGATGCATTAAGCATTCTTAACAGGCAATCCTCTCTGAAGAAACTGACAATCCTTGCTGTGAAAAACTATAAAGTAGAAGCAGCAGGATCTGCATAAAACCCAGAGTTCTCCAAATAGCCAAGAAATGGAGTAGACTTCAATGAAGTGCTTGGGGAAGGAAAAAAAATCAGCAAAACAGTATCATAGTAAAGTGAAAAGTGGAAAATATTGATAGGAAGTTAACATGGGAGTACAATATTTCCTTGTCCTTATGGAATACTGTAAATGATGGGTCAATTCTGAAAGCCCCCAGCTCACTTGCTCAATGTGGTATAGGACTTCCCCAAAGAAAAGCAGGTTTCTTCAATAGGATAATAGAAATATTCCAAATAGATTGTATTGGCATTATGGAAGCCTTCTAAAAACTACCTATAAGGTAGTTTGAAAATACTGAATCATGTTCAGTTGAAGTATAAAAGTACTAATCACTGCTAAGTAAATTTTAGGGGATTCAAGCGCAAACATTTCAAATGCTTAGTATAAAGAGGTAATAAAAATCTAAAACCAACCATTAATGGTATAAAGGAGGGCAGAATAAATAGGAAAGAAGCAAAAGCTTTCACAAGCCTCAAAGGACTTCCATGTTGATGTTTTCCTTGCAGCTCTTAAAACAGGCTCTGCATCATGTGTTACACAGCACAGTTCATGTGCCATACTGTGAGCCACTGAGTTCAAATCTCAGGGTAGCAGATAACTTCTTGGTGCATTGTGTGCAGTGTGAATAGTTATGAGTGTATCTCATTTCACTCACGTGACAACTCTACTTTGCAGGGGTTACTGCTTGACTTCTGGGAGCAATTCAGAGTGCTGGTTGTCACCCCTAATACCCTGCATGGCTTGGACCTTGGATACATATGGGACCTTCTTTTTCTGATTTTTCTGCTCATCCAGTAAGATCTGGAAGGGCTGCCATGCTTCTGTTCCTTGTGGAAGAAGTGCATTACCTGTAGCCACCCCCTAACCTTTGGAATAGCATTGCCCCTGAATTTTGTGTGGTCACAACCGTTCATGAAAGCTGTGAGGACTTGACTTTTTCAACTGGGCCTGGAATGGGGCACTTTATGATCACACTTGTTGCATATTGTTTGTATTGTTGTTCCCCAGTGTGGGTGCTTGACATTTGCTTATTGTTTGCTAGGCTTAGACTGCTTTGAATTGTTCTTTTATCCTTGTACAATGCTTAGAGTTGCTTTGGCAACTGATAATAAATAAATTAATTAATTAATTGACTTCTCAAAACCAAGGTCTACAGTCAAAACAATGCATACAATAGTCTTCTGATGTCTTGCATTCCTGAGAAGACTTTTGATGTCCAAAACCTCAGCCAAGGAATCCAAAGTAGGAAGGCCTTTGATGCCTGTAATGGTGTTGCCACTAAAGAACTGGCCAGCTTTGGCAGCCTATGTATGTCAGATACAATGAGCCAAAGTCCCATAAGATAACTTACAAGCTTTGATGTGGAATAGCCAATCTTTACCGAAAGCCATGTCTTCAATTATGCAGCTAGCCTCTGGGGGTATAATCTAAATCAGGCAACAACTGGCTCCGATGATCATATCAACAGGTTATTTCAGGAGAAAAGCTTATGAGATGGCATGAGATTTACACCCAGAAAAACATAAGCTGGACTCTAGACTAAAGCTGGCTTTCTTTTTTCTTGAGGACAAAAATGCCCAGTTCCTCCCCCACTGAGTATCTTGGTGCCCTTGGTGCCCAGGTCCTCCCTTCTTCACTTTTCTTTTCTGCAGGACCCTTGCAAGCATCAACTGCCTCTTCTCCCTCCCCACAGCTGCAGCTGCACTGATTACCTTCCTGTCCAAGAAGCTCAGAGGAAGACCAATCCAATATAATACCTGCTCTATGCTATGGAGCATAGAGGCAGGACAAGGGAATAACAGAAAAACCTGCACTTCTGGCTCCCATTTGAATGCTAGCCAAAGTCTCATCCCCACTTTTGATATCAAACCTATAGAGATTTCTCTCCCCAGTATAGAAAACCGGTATCCCATTGAATGTCTGGTATTACTTGGAATCAAGGATGTTGCATGAGTGTAGGGTGGCCTAATGATCCCCTTTTCTTTGTCTTTTGATTATTTATTTTCTTACCAGGAAAACAGTCACAATATCTGCCTGTTCTAGGCCCACAGAGTATGTTCTTTAGTGATGGTTAGATGAGACATAAGTGCTTCAAAGCTGACATTGATATCATAAGCATTTCTTCATGGTTGAAATTGGTACTGGTGGTATGCAACATCTCTCTGGCCAATGCAACTGAAATGGAAGGCTTTCTGCACTTCAGTACTGATATCTTCAAACATTTAGTCTCACCTTGCTACTTGGATAGCTGAACTATGAATGATTGCCTCATACCTGATTTATGAAGCATTGGGAATGATGGCTTAAGTCGACTGGGATGGCCTTCAATCAAATAGAAAGACAAAGACTGTCCATCTGAGGATGGCAGCTTATTGCCATGGTTAACCCATTTTCTAAAGATGGCTTTCAAGGCCATAGAAGCAAGGACAAGGATTGGCAGAAAACAATGCACTGAATCAAGTTTAAAAACAAACAAACAAACAACAACAAAAACCAAGGAAAATCATGAACTGTAAACAATACAATAGAAAATATAATTGAAATAAGCTGAACTATTAGTCTAATCTCATAATGAGACAAAACATTCCCAGCCACAGTTAAAAAGAATTCAGGTAAATAATAGTAAATCCTTCTGGCATGCACAGAGGGAGGGAGCATTCAGGGCCTAAGGAAACACAGCTCAGTTCAAGAATATTCATGCGTGTGATGCACAGAGATGACAATGAAGACGCTAAAGCATTTTGCAAAGTAGACAGTGATCCATAATGTAAATTGAGGATCTGTTTTCTCTCCAAACATCAATTTCAGAAATGATTTCTCTGCTAAGTACATTTATTATGAACCACTAAAAATAAGTTTCTACTATGTTACATTGGCTATAGATGCACTGTAACAATATTTTCCCTTTGTATCATGTTTGTAAACATTTATTTGAAATAAGATAAGCAATTAAATTTACCCTTATTTCCCATCACAGTACTTTCTAAATATGCACTTTGATGGCTTCTGACAAGAAATCCTAAAATACTGGAGGACATCCATTTTTCAGAATAAAAGGTGTAAACACATTGGCATTGAAGCAAAATTGGGGGAATGGTGGCAACTGTTTTACTGAAGGAAAAAAAAAAACTTTGCTGCAGCTGCATATATGTTCACAACTTTATTCCCCCCCCCAATATTTTATCAACACACACTTGCATGTTAATGGGGGGGGGGGAGGGAAAAAGAAATGAATAAATCGAAGCAACCGAAAGCTAGGAAAGCACAATGGAAACAATTTAGAGTTTATTAACAACAACAGAAATTATAAACAGGTATTGACTGGGAGATTATCATGGGAAAAATATCTATCCATGTGATCACTAAGAGTCAACATGATTTGATGGCACATAATCAACTGACTGGGAGAATTTTTAAGGTTTTGATTCAACTTCAGAGGAAAGATATATAGAATTCAGAATTCCTAAATCTAGGAAGACATACAGACTTGGGAAGGTTGATGTCTTAAAGAAATTTGGTAGCCCTTTCAGTCAAACAATCTCTGACTTCATTGGAAGAATTATAGATCACATGGCTTACACTGTATGCAAACATTTCCCCCTCCTAAACAGGAATATTCCAGATTCATTAGAACATATTAGGCAAATCAGTTTCTGGGTAGTGTCAACTATTATAAGAATGAATAATATCTTGCTTTTTAAAAAAAATGTTAGTAACTGTTTTGTTTTACTTACGAATACATTCAGGTTGTATGCCACTCCAAGTTAAATTTGAAAGACATGTTCTTGTAGTAGAGCCCTGTATATGGTAACCCTTTCTACACCTGAAGAAGATTCTGCTCCCAACCTAAAAAATGAAAAGGAGAAATTATAGCAAATTGTTAAAAACTTTAAATATTTGGAAATATAAAGTTAAATTTTTAAAAGTAGCAGATTTTTAAAATGTTAACTAAACGACATTATACAGTCCATTTCTATGTAGGGAATGGGTACCTTTCTCCCCATTGTGTGATTAGAGTAAGAGGTCTACAATAAGTGATATACAAATGACATTTAAATCAAAAATCTATGACATCATAATTATTACAAATAATCATAACAAGCAGGGCAATCAAAACTGGCAGGGCAAGCTACTGTATATAAACAGAAGCAAACCCCACACTTGCTCACAGTGATGATGACCTACTTGAGTAATGAAATGTCTGTAGCAAACAACCAAGCTCAGAGAGCACCAAGGACACTACAGTTCAATGCTGAGCTACAGATATTCTCTTCCATTGGAAATAATTGTAACACTTGTATTCAACATATAGCTTTTCCTCCCTCTCCCCCGCCCCACTTTTTTTTTGGTTGTACTTGCCAAGTTAAAGATCAGTGCTTTTTTCTCTATAACAACAAGGCTAAGAAATTAAAGTGGAAAAGTCAGAAATATTTTCTTCAAAATTAATGAGCTTAATAAGAAAAAAAGTTGAAGGTGAAACTACTCCTTCTATCACACAGGCAAAGCTCATGGTGTTGTCCTACCCTTCTAAATAATAATATAACTGTGATAGGAGTCAACACCCCAGAAGAAGCACATGTGATTAATTAATTAATCTAAGACCTTTGCAATGTTATTGTAACAGAATTTAACTTGATATATTCATACATCTACAGAATGATAATTCTGTTGTTTATTTTTGTTCTTTTGTATCAATGTCTCAACTCCTTGGTCTGCAACTCTGTTATTACTTGGGGAAAATATTCTTTGATATTATCATTGGGAATATTGCAATATAGCTTTACATTTAAATTTTCCACTGGAATCAGTAGAGAAGACCTCTTGCAAATATTGGAAGAAAGATTTCAAAATGTACTTACAAATGTAAGTTTCTATGATATTTACCTTTCTTCAGCCATAATCCATGTTACTTTTACAAGTATGAAAATATGTAGATAGATTTGTACGTATTTCTACTATTATTTATATAATTGCAAGCATTTTTCCATAGGTTTTTGTATGCTCTTTTTCCTAAAGTATGGATTTTTTTCTGCAGTTTTCTTTTACTTACAAATTTAGCAAGATTTTTATATTGTATTATATTTTGATTCTATTGTCATAGAATCAGTACATATGCTTATATGTGTCTTTAAACAAAACGTTTGCATGTGTAGGAGTAGCGTGTTTTTATCAAATTTAATTGTATATTTATTTATTGTTTTAATATGTTGTAAGCCACCCAGAGTCCCCATTGGGGGAGATGGG